AGTGGTATAGGAACGGTGAGATAGGGCATCCTTGTCGAATTCCACTGGAGACGAACAAGGTAGGCGAAAGCTTGCTATAAACCTCAATCCTGCCCAAGGACAGACTACAGAGAGCGCGCAGTATAGAGACGAACTTCTCGGGGACGCGGTTCCTCAGTAGGCAGTGCCACAGCACCGTCCAACCGACAGAATCGAAGGCCGCACGGATATGCAAGAACACAGCAATCGTTAGCCTCTGCTACGCATGGCGAAGCTCGTGAATCTGGCAGAGTGTGAAGATTTGATCGATGCAGCGGTGACCAGGGTGAAACCCAGTTTGTTCTTTCGCTGCAACGATTCGCGCGTTGGGGATAGCCTGTGAAGTATGCTAGACACCAGTAGCTTGCAAAAGACGGGGACTAAGCTTATGCCTCTGTAGTTGGAGCAGATTGTGCGCAGGCTCTTTTTCTAGACGGGACAGCCATCGATTAACCCCGAGATAATAGAATTTCCTCTTTCGACCAAACTTTCGAGGCAATGCGGTGAGTTCTCGAACCAGCAAAGTGCCACCATCGATACATAGAGCTTGGGGAACACCATCAGGGCCGGAGATTTATAACGTTTCATGTGGCGGAGCTCCTGCTCGACTTCCTGTTAAGAGAGAGTATCAGTGGGAGTAGACCACTCGATCCCAGAGCAATCGCCAGAGGTAGCAGATGGAGCTGGCGGCACTCAGTGCAACCCCAACCCCAGCTTGGCCAGAAGCGGCAGCTTCTGGGTCTCCGGAAAGCCGCAAGTGGTATTTGGCGTCAGGGTTTACCGGAGAGCCCATTCTGATGGCGCGCTAGAATCTTGTAATCTGGTCTCCGAAAGGCAACATATGTCCACCGAAAGCTTGTCGTCCGATCTGCATGAAAGATCGAACATTAAACGCTGCGAGGATGAATGGAGAACCAGATCAAAGAAGAGCTGGAGCTTCGGTGGAGTGAGAGGCGGTTGTGATCGCAGGACGATGAAAACCGGGAGTTTGACTGCTACTTCCATCAGTTGCGCGACGTGAGTCGTTTGTGACGGTAACCGAAGAAGAGATGAGTACATTTAGATGAAGGACGGGAGGTGGGGTGATCTGTGAGTTGAGGTTGAGCAGTTAATTTAGCATAGAAGAAAGTCATAGCAAGAGCAGTAGTAAGCGGTGTGTTCCATGATTCGTCAGTGGACGTGGTACTACCCGGTTTCCCAGGCCGAAGTAGAGGGTTGTCTTAGGGGGCCCTACCCCAAGCCTTTGATTAAAGATCTAACCTACAAGGCAGCAGGGCGATGTGAGGGCGTGGCAACCCACTGGGAGCCGGGGACCAAATAGATAGTTCATGCGCCTTTCGGTCCATGAAGGATCAGGAGCCCAACGCACCCTTGAATTACAATGCCTCTCAAGGAGATGCAAGAGGTCGTGAATTTATTTAGCGGCGAGTCACATCCGTCAAGTCGCAGCGTCGTTAAAGAGACATTAGTGGCTTTTTATAGGGAGAACGCTTGCATCCGTAATATTAGGATGGGCCTTCTCATGAACGACCCTTTAACTTCTAGATCAAACAGATCGGCTTACCGCACATAATGGTGAACCGCAAAGTTAACTAAACTTCAGAAGAGTCGCAATGTCTAGTTGGCTTCTCTAGTTAGCCGCAGCCTTGCGCTACTTTTCAGTGAGCTACCGCTTTACCTCTGGAACCAGCTAGTGTGCGATTAAAATAGAAAAGTCACAAAACACCCTACGTCTCGTCTAATGGCTCTACTAATGTCAATGTGCAGTGGCTGGCATTTGTCAGTTGTCTTGGTCAGTAGTGTCCCCGCTTCACATCTAGACTTGCAAAATACTTCCCATCTCGTTTGAATGTCCATGGGAACAATAGAAAAATAGTATTATACGAATAAAAAAGCCAAGGATTGACAAGTTCCGTAGAATGGCTTATGGGAATAACCTTAGTTCAATGAAGTTACACAAAAGAGAGAAACGCATCTGTGGACTCACCATATTATCCAGGTTAAAACATAGGTAAAAGCGTCCAACCCGATTTCGTGGGATTGATGAGCACAATGTTTATCTGCGTCCATTCGTCAGTCAATGAATAGAAATCAGATTAAGTACATGGTGTAAAGCATAGTCGAGTCGTTTTATAAAACTGGGTAGCGTGGGCGCATAAATGACAAAATAGTAAGAGCGCTCCACGATTGACAAACTCGAAGGGAAAAATAATTCCCACAGCACTCAAGCCGACTTTATTGCGTGTCGAGTTTCAATTTATGACCCCTTAATTCTGTGTTGTAGCTAAGCTTCAGAAGGTGGTGCAAACGTCACCGGGGTTTCTAAAAACTGAAACGCCATAATGAGATCACCACTTGGACTGCGATGTTTTCCTCTCTGCACTCCCAGAGCTTCCAGTCACCTATGGTATTGCAGGTGGGACAAACCCTTCACATTTTTGTTGCCCGTCGCTGTGCGGTCTCCAGTGCAACGAGGTCGCGTTGTAACCAGGGTCGAGAAACCTCGATCACGTACTCTACATGGAGCCTCACATACGCATTGAGAATTTGGAGGAAGATGGCGGGATCGAACCATCCGAAAGCCCTCCGTAACAGACCAACATGTTGGTTCGCAGTTTTGGACGCCTTCAAAGACTGCGCCGAAGATCTGAAGTCGTCTTGAATTACCACCCCAAGGTCTAGCTCTTATGAGGTCGTGTTCAGCATATCGTCTCCCAGCTTATATGAGTACGTGGGCTTGTGGCGGACATGCACGGTTTTGCACTTGTCTGTGTTAAACGGAAGTAGATTTACCTTTGACCATTCAAAAGCGCAGCCGGCAAGCAGTATGAGCGATTCAAATAATGGGGTCGAATCAATAGTTACTAAGGGCCTTTCGCTCACAGACAGGCTACAAGGTAGACCAGCCTCATTGGTAGCGTTCAAAATGATGCCTCCTCCTTAGTCCGCTTTCATTGATTGGCGAATAAGCGTCGGCCTGTGTTGTGGTCAAATGATTCGGGCTGCATGAAAAGGTCCGCCTTTCCCGATAACATAGAGAGAATACTAAAAATTTCGCGCGATTCGGTGGCAAAACTAATCGCAGAAATAACCATGCAGTACAGGACTATGGACGGTGAACAAACGAAGACGGCAGCGGATAAATTAAGGGCGTATATCGGTAAGCAACTAGCGTACACACACGAACACAGAGTTTCCATGGCACTTGTTTTGATATTCAAGACAATCAATGGTAAGAGAATTAAGGAACACCTGCCAGGTTGGCTCTACACGCGCGAGAATAGAACAAACTACAGTGCGATTACAAACCATCTAATAAACACAGGTCACCAGATAGACAAACGAACAGCCTTTCAAATTCTCTACAAAATACCATCAAGACAAAATCATCGTCTAAGAGCAAGCATACTCGCCACCGCTGAGGCAATATGCATACGTCTAACAAATCCGAACTTGTGTGTTCAGAAGAAACTAATACAAACACTACAACTTCCCTGGCCGACCACCAGCCGTGAAGGAAGTAATGGTACTCCGCAAATTCACCTGACCTCAGTCACGTGATCAGATGAAGGCCATCACGATCACAAGTTAAATTGTCTAATCAATTGTTTCTTTGTTACACTAACGATTTCAGCAGACGTTAACATAATGTATATTACTGTATGAGCCTGATGAAGAAGTAATCGAAAACAATTGTTTGCTCAAAGCTTCGTGTTTTGTTTATGCTAAAATTATTTCCATTGATTGTCTTGAATATCAAAACAAGTGCCATGGAAAATCTGTGTTCGTGTGTGTACGCTAGTTGCTTACCGATATACGCCCTAAATTTATCCGCTGCCGTCTTCGTTTGTTCACCGTCCATAGTCCTGTACTGCATGGTTATTTCTGCGATTACCTTTGCCACCGAATCGCGCGCAAATTTTTAGTATTCTCTCTATGTTATCGGGAAAGGCGGACCTTTTCATGCAGCCCGAATCATTTGACCACAACACAGGCCGACGCTTATTCGCCAATCAATGAAAGCGGACTAAGGATGAGGCTTCACTTGAACGCTACCAATGAGGCTGGTCTACCTTGTAGCCTGTCTGTGAGCGAAAGGCCCTTAATAACTATTGATTCGACCCCATTATTTGAATCGCTCATACTGCTTGCCGGGTGCGCTTTTGAATGGTCAAAGGTAAATCTACTTCCGTTTAACACAGACAAGTGCAAAACCGTGCATATCCACCACAAGCCTACGTACTCATATAAGCTGGGAAACGATATGTTGAACACGACCTCATAAGAGCTAGACCTTGGGGTGGTAATCCAAGCGGACTTCAGATCCTCGGCGCAGTCTTTGAAGGCGTCCAAAACTGCGAACCAACCTGTTGGTCTGTTACGAAGGACTTTCGGATGGTTCGATCCCGCCATCTTCCTCCAAATTCTTAAAGCGTATCTGAGGTTCCATGTAGAGTACGTGATCGAGGCTTGGCGACCCTAGTTACAACGCGACCTCGTTGCACTGGAGACAGCACAGCGACGGGTAACAAAAAAATGTGAAGGGTTTGTCCCACCTGCAATACCATAGGTGACTGGAAGCTCTGGGAGTGCAGAGAGGAAAACATCGCAGTCCAAGTGGTGATCTCATTATGGCGTTTCAGTTTTTAGAAACCCCGGTGACTTTTGCACCACCTTCTGAAGCTTAGCTACAACACAGAATTAAGGGGTCATAAATTGAAACTCGACACGCAATAAAGTCGGCTTGAGTGCTGTGGGAATTATTTTTCCCTTCAAGTTTGTCAATCGTGGACCGCTCTTACTATTTTGTCATTTATGCGCCCATGCTACCCAGTTTTATAAAACCACTCGACTATGCTTTACACCGTGTACTTAATCTGATTTCTATTCATTGACTGACCAATGGACGCAGATAAACATTGTGCTCATCAATCCCACGAAATCGGGTTGGACGCTTATACCTATGTTTTAACCTGGATAATATGGTGAGTCCACCGATGCGTTTCTCTCTTTTGCGTAACTTCATTGAACTAAGGTTATTCCCATAAGCCATTCTACGGAACTTGTCAATCCTTGGCTTTTTTATTCGTATAATACTATTTTTCTATTGTTCCCATGGACATTCAAACGAGATGGGAAGTATTTTGCAAGTCTAGATGTGAAGCGGGGACACTACTGACCAAGACAACTGACAAATGCCAGCCACTGCACATTGACATTAGTAGAGCCATTAGACGAGACGTAGGGTGTTTTGTGACTTTTCTATTTTAATCGCACACTAGCTGGTTCCAGAGGTAAAGCGGTAGCTCACTAAAAGGTAGCGCAAGGCTGCGGCTAACTATAGAAGCCAACAAGACATTGCGACTCTTGTGAAGTTTAGTTAACTTTGCGGTTCACCATTATATGCGGTAAGCCGATCAGTTTGATCTAGAAGTTAAAGGGTCGTTCATGAGAAGGCCCATCCTAATATTACGGATGCAAGCGTTCTCCCTATAAAAAGCCACAAATGTCTCTTTAACGACGCTGCGACTTGACGGATGTGACTCGCCGCTAAATAAATGCACTACCTCTTGCATCTCCTTGAGAGGCATTGTAATTCAAGGGTGCGTTGGGCTCCTGATCCTTCATGGACCGAAAGGCGCATGAACTATCTATTTGGTCCCCGGCTCCCAGTGGGTTGCCACGCCCTCACATCGCCCTGCTGCCTTGTAGGTTAGATCTTTAATCAAAGGCTTGGGGTAGGGCCCCCTAAGACAACCCTCTACTTCGGCCTGGGAAACCGGGTAGTACCACGTCCACTGACGAATCATGGAACACACCGCTTACTACTGCTCTTGCTATGACTTTCTTCTATGCTAAATTAACTGCTCAACCTCAACTCACAGATCATCCCACCTCCCGTCCTTCATCTAAATGTACTCATCTCTTCTTCGGTTACCGTCACAAACGACTCACGTCGCGCAACTGATGGAAGTAGCAGTCAAACTCCCGGTTTTCATCTTCCTGCGATCACAACCGCCTCTCACTCCACCGAAGCTCCAGCTCTTCTTTGATCTGGTTCTACATTCATCCACGCAGTGTTTAATGTTCGATCTTTCATGCAGATCGGACGACAAGCTTTCGGTGGACATATGTTGCCTTTCGGATACCAGATTACAAGATTATAGCGCCGCCATCAGAATGGGCTCTCCGGTAAACCCTGACGCCAAATACCACTTGCGGCTTTCCGGAGACCCCGAAGCTGCCGCTTCTGGCCAAGTTGGGGTTGGGGTTGCACTGAGTGCTGCCAGCTCCATCTGCTACCTCTGGCGATTGCTCAGGGATCGAGTGGTCTACTCCCACAGATACTCTCTCTTAACAGGAAGTCGAGCAGGAGCTCCGCCACATGAAACGTTATAAATCTCCGGCCCTGATGGTGTTCCCCAAGCTCTATGTATCGATGGTGACACTTTGCTGGTTCGAGAACTCACCGCATTGCTCTCGAAAGTTTGGTCGAAAGAGGAAATTCTATTATCTCGGGGTTAATCGATGGCTGTCCCGTCTAGAAAAAGAGCCTGCGCATAATATGCTCCAACTACAGAGGCATAAGCTTAGTCCCCGTCTTTTGCAAGCTACTGGTGTCTAGCATACTTCACAGGCTATCCCCAACGCGCGAATCGTTGCAGCGAAAAACAAACTGGGTTTAACCCTGGTCACGGCTGCATCGATCAAATCTTCACACTCTGTCAGATCCAAGAAATCCGCCATGTGTATCAGAGGCAAACGATTGCTGTGTTCTTGCATATCCGTGCAGCCTTTGATTCTGTCGGTTGGACGGTGCTGTGGCACTGCCTACTGAGGAACCGCGTCCCCGAGAAGTTCGTCTCTATACTGCGCGCTCTCTATAGTCTGTCCTTGGGCAGGATTGAGGTTTATAGCAAGCTTTGGCCTACCTTGTTCGTCTCCAGTGGAATTCGACAAGGATGCCCTATCACTCCGTTCCTATTCAAATTTACCATTGAGGATGTCCTGAAGAACGCTCTGGGCAATTCGTTGAACGCTGGAGTTGAGCTCTTCCCAGATGGTCGAGTTGTTGATTTGTATTATGCTGATGATATTGTCTTGCAGGATGACGATCCACACGTCGTCCAAATTGCACTAAACCGCTTGGCGATTGAAACAGCAAAGTATGGTATATACGTTTCGCCATCCAAATGCAAGGCTCTCTTCCAAGACTGGCAGGTGCATCTGCCTGCACTCACACTTGGTGCTGAGACACTATTGGTTGTGGAGAGCTTTTTCTAGTTGAGAAGTTGCATTACTGCTGGCGGGGTGGTTGGGGACGAGATTTCGATTAACACCTCGAGAGCACGCCCCGCTTTTCTCGGCTGAGGCACTTGTGACCTCGCCACGGCATTCGTCTCTCCATCAAAAGACGGATCTATTGTGCAACTGTTCGTGCTGTACCGTTTTGCGAATGCGAGACCTGGACCCATTTGTAAAGATGACTTGCGCAGGCTATCCGTCTTCGAGCATCCATCAGTTCGACAGACATAAAGAGGCTCGTCATATTCCATCATCGCTGCCTTTGCAGCTTAACTCATGTCTGGTGGGAGAACCGCGTGAGCAATGAGCGTGTTCGACGTCGCGTATTTGGTGCAGGAAGAGCGAGTGAACCGCTCAGCACCATTATATGACGCACCAGGCTCCGATGGCTGGGCCACGTGTTGCGCATGCCAGCACAGCGACTTCCGCGACGTGCATTGTTTGCGCGTTGTGGGTGCGGTTGGAAGAGAAGGAGGGGAGGCCAAGTGATGGCTTGGTCGTGAGAAACGAAACCCTCACTTCGAAGTTGGCGTCGTTTGGTGCATCCCGACTGCCTGGCTGGGGTCCTAAGGTTAGTGAACACGTTTGGTTGGACACACTTGCTGATATGGCTTGAAACCTGCCCCATTGGCGTTTGAGTTGTGAGTTCCTTTGTCTATCCCCCTCCTGCTTAGCATTCCTTCCAACCACGATCTTACTTGTTAGGCATAATATGACTCCCTTTTAAGGCAGCCAGCTGTTAGCTCTCCGGAACGAAGTCCATTCGTTACTGGGGGCTCAGCGGGCGTGCCACTATTTGTTTTCCTTTTCTTGTCTTTTTTATTGCAGCACGATAGCTGAGGTGTCTTCCACCTCCAGCTAACGTTTAATGAGGATGAGGATGATGACCGCTGTCTGTGGTCCATTGCCCGTGTGTGATGGCGGCACCACAGAAGCAATGCGAAATTTGCTCAGCATGTCTTGGATCTCAGTGGCATAGTGCTTATGGTGTCAACCATGAGCCACTAGACTCTGAGTTCCGGCCCAACTCAGGCTATCTCGAACTGATGAGTCCCAACCAAGACGAAACCGCGGTCTTCGGGTGCCGGTGTTGGGGTGAGCAACACTATAATGTTTCCATTTTTCTTACGGTCTTTGTGATCGGAATGACCGAGGTCCACCTCAAGTGAACCGAGGTCTCAATAGAGGTTTCTTGTAGCAAACCAACCACCAGCGGAGCCTCCAAGTCCAACTTTGCATGTCAGACAGTTGTTATCAACTAACTCGATGCTCAATGCTATGGTACCATGCGCAAGATTGAAATGAACCAACTGATCATCGACGCACACCCCATGATACGTGATACAAACTTTGTCATCCACAGAACGACGGGTAAACATCATGCTGATGCTGGGTTCGTTCGGCTGATTGCCACCCAGCTTGCTCATAAAGGCGTTAGCAATCAACGACCCTAATTGTGAACACTTAGCCACGTCGTCTACTTGTAGATATGGCATTCCGTTGAAATGAACCAGAAGGCTTCTCGTACTCTTCAGCAGCAGTTGTTTCAAGCAGTCTGATGGGATACGGACATCGACGTATCACAACTGGATGCATTTGCTTAATCAGTCGATGGTCTGCACCAATGGAACATTGGTGAAAAGAAACACCGCATCTAACGAAAACATCTTCCTCCGGCTAGTACAGGTAACTTCAGAGAGTTAAGAGAATCAAACATGTTCGTGTCGCCGTAACTGGTTAAGAATTTTCGTACTGGTTCCAGCCGTCTGACGAGCCGCTTGGCAATTGATTGTTACATCGAGCTACAGTAAGAACACTTCAGAATGTCTGTTCCCACGTAGCTACGGCATTAGCATTCTTAGCAATTGAGCAGTATAGGAACTCATTGCTTAACGCATGTTACGAATACCTAAGTTATTCTTATAATGTGCCCGGCACCTACTGAAATTGAAATGTCTAAACACTCTCAAAGAACGCAAGTAAAATGATTGTGTCCTGCAGTATGGATCCAATAAATGAGCCGGAATTGCTCTGATGCATAGAAAAGACTACATCAGTAAGATTTATACCATTCGTTCTGACGGGTCGAAATTTCGAAGGATCGGTAACGAGCATAAAATGGCAGAGGAGATCGAGAGGTCTATAACGAAACTTCTGCCTTGCTTGAATCACAAGGATACAATCGACTGTACAATGATCAACTACACCAGACTGCTTGGAACAGTGAATTCAAGGCTTTACGGCTTACACAACCCAGATAAGGAAGGACAAACGCTAAAGTAGAAACTTGGTGTTTTTGATGCGTCGCATCATGTAACGACCAAATGGCTCGTTAAAGAGCGGGGACCAGTCAGAAAAGTCATAGCAAGATTTGGTGGCAAAGACACCATTGAATTTCATGGCACACTGAAGTAAGTTGAACTAGCCAGCGGAAGATGTTCTCATTAGATGCGGTGGTTCATTTCATCAACCTTTCAGTGCAACAGATCTTAGACTGTCTACGCGAGTCCATCCAGGTGCAATACCTCGATGTCGTTATTCCACCAGGCCGATGTGTAAGAGAGTTACGTGAGAGAAACCTTCAGATTTATCTTAAGGAAACCCTGTACCCTGTGTACCTGCTGTGTGAAATATACCTTCAGATTTCTCTGAACGAAACGTTAGATTGAGATATAGGCGG